TTAACCTTAGAGAGATAAAGACCTTGTTCTCAGGTTTTGTTACCTTTTCCTAACTGACTTGGTACCTACTCCTTCCTGTCCCCTCTCTCTACTAATGGATTGATCACCCATTAGTAATAATTAGAGGTTAATAATACTGAGCTAGAGTTCTTACTAAGTAGGACAACAAAGGTAGCCTAGTTGATCTGGCCAATCTCTAGACTTGTGACTAATAGGGTTTTGTATATAAACTACTCAGTCCCAAGTCTTGAGTTAAGCTTTTCCAAACTTAGTTACTGTATTTTACAATTCCTAACAACATCTAAGCTCCTCAGACATGATGAACAATAAGTTTTAATAGTGGTTTTCATTACATTATGCATTTATTTTACAAAATAGAGGTGGCCTGTACAAAAAGTGGCTCTCTCCAGGTCATGATCTGTACTGTCACATGACCCAAAATTTCCTTTAATTAAGCATATTCTTGATCTCACACCTTAATGCTTAATGCTTAATGCCCTTTATACTTAATATACCTCTATTTTCCTGCCTACCAACTTGGTGGATCAAATTTTTCATGCTTATTGAGAGGAAATGCTAAACTACAAGTATGCTTATTGACAGGTTTCACTGTAGTAGGAGGGCTATATATGGTATTAGAGCACGTGACAAGCCTGTATTAGCAAGCAGTTCTCACCATTACTGTAGTCTTTGGGAAGACTAGTGAAACACTCTAAATCAAGATATATGTAGTTATATGTGAATTAATAGTGTATTGAGAATTGTTTGGAAGACATTTTGTATTTCTTTAAGTAAGTTTTACAGTGTACAAAGAAATCTCTGTAGTGGTGGAACATCACGTGTAATAGCACTATACATGGTAATCCTACTATATGAGGCAGGTGATAAAAAAACGACGCAAATCCCCTTGCTGTCATCATTTTCCGGAAACGCTGTAACCCCAACTTTGAAAAACTGGTCGGAGCATCTCGATTCTCGAAACGTTTTTCCCGTATTTAACTCCGCGTAATCTTCGTTATGTATCGCATGGTCTACGTCGGACGTGAGTGCGAACACTTCTCACAGATCAACCCTGTCGGTGTGGCGGGCCCGGCGGAAAAACACATGGCAATACTGGCTAAATAAATATGGTCACTGAATACCCATCTACACACTTACTTGCGCATTGACCATGTCCGACCCAAGCCCAGCTAACGGTGAGTGCAGTATTTGCTTAGCGACTATTTGGCTGACCAACATCACCCAGATGCTCCCAAGTCGGCGAGCAAGATTGTTTTACACCACTTGAACAACTCTCGTTCCCAGCGGATTCTATGGTTACTCGTGTGTAGTACAAGAAAACTTTATTATTTATTTCCTCACGCTTGGATCTTAGGAGGAGCTGGAAGTCCCGTACGAAATCAAGAAATACCAGCGCACGTCGGAGATGCTCGCCCCCAAAGAACTGAAGGATGTCCACGTGCTCGGGAAGGCTCCTGTTATAACCGATGGAGACCTTACAATCGCGGAGAGCGGTGCCATTGTCGGTGTGCTATGCTCTTGTCCTTTGGTTCATCGAAAACAGAGTCTAATGTAATCAAAGAATATCTCATAACAAGATATGGTGGCGAGAAATTTAAGCCGACAGAAGCGGGCTGGGTAGATAATTTGTACTGTATGTATCTCGTTGCATCCTTTTACGCGCGTTTAAGCGACTATTCATTTTCATTACAGTCACCCATTATGCCGAGGGTTCAATCATGCCACTCCTCGTAATCAAACTTGTCTTCACCATAATTCCTCAGCGTACACCATTTTTCATCCGCCCAGTGGCAAGTTTGATCTGTAACACTCTTCTTAAGAAGATGGTCGATCCTCAGCTGCTGCAAAACAGGACGTTTGTATGTTCTGCCTTATTATTCTCCGATACACAAGATAAGTCTCAAGTCTGGCACTAATGATTAATTGTAGATTGAAGAACATCTTGCGAAGTGTCCTTCAGGCTGGTTCGCTAGCGGGCCAAATCCAACTGCTGCGGACTTTATGATGATTTTCCCGCTGGAGGCAATGGATACGCGTATTCCAGACTCTGGAAACAGCACTGCCATTCACGACTACGTCAAAATGGTTCACGAAAGGTAGAGTTACGATTTTTTTTTTCGATTTCAATTAGAGTAATCTTACACATTTCTGTTCCTCGCATACAGGTTAGCTTATAAGCGCGTGAGTGCCTTTTTGCCATCATCTAGGACTGTAAGTGGACTAAGACTGACGTGCACTTTCATTTCAAGGCAGCTGAAAAGGGCGGAGAGTTTCAAATTCTCTAATTCACGTCTTGATACAAGGCCGAAGTTATAGGTTTATTATTCTGCATGCGAAACGAGTTTTAGCTGTATTCACTCTCGGTTTTGTGGTATTGTTCCAAATGTTATGATTTGTGGAATGACTGTTGCTGTGCTGGTTCTTTTTGATAATTTTGGAACGATTGTACTCATCTGGCCTAAAAAACCAGACTCATTGAAAGCTCCGAGGCCAAACGCGACAAACCAGATAGGGAGGGGAGAAGTAATTGTGCTGTACTGTTGGACCTATTGCACCAGTAATGTCTTGCAGTCCATTACAATTATGCTGGCAAAGAAGTCCACTTCCTACGTACGTCTAACAACTTACTTTGTGGGACTGGCTCAACCTTTCTTTTCCAACGTTAGTTGGAACCCAACGGCCAAGATAACAGACTTCACAATGGTTATATCTGCTGATGGCTCCGTCATCTCAAGCTGCCCCACACTGCCCCACACCTACCGACTTAAACGTACCAGACTGAAAAATATGACATAAAGGCATTACGATGACGAAAGAACACAAACGCACGGTGCACCTTGACTCCACAAGCGGTAGAAAGACAGGACTGCTGCCTCCACGTTAGCCTTCCATTGCCAGTCAAACCCGACTCGTGTTGATTGACGCCAAGCGGCGTTCTCCATGAATAGACACCGAATCGAGGACCTTGGTTGGTCATCAGTTATGCTGCCGAGCCGACAACTATTGCCTACCAAGCCGGACAATCTCGTCTGTTCAACTGTGCTGAACTTTGAAGCTGTTGACTCTGGCTTGAGTAATATTGAATTGTCCTTCCAGCTTTTCATATTCTGGCGCGGCATTTACTAGAAGTTGATGAGATGATGAGCGATGGTGAAGGCGTGAACTGAAAGAGAGAGGACTGACGAGTAACATTACTATTATGGCAAGTCAACTCCTGAATCTCCACTTGTCAGGCATGTGCAATGTGTCTTGGAAGTGGGCCTTGCCGCGTTGCATCAGTAGTTTCCAATCCCGTGTTTTGAGACATATGCTCACTTGACTTGAAAATTTTGCAACGCAAGGTGGTCTAGCTCGGATTGAAGGCATCTTGGAAATCTATAAATATGGGCAGTAATCCAGTCTTTCCCAACCCAATAGCAACACCCTCGTCAAGGCCTTAGGTGCTCTCGTACTTCGGTTAGTATACTTATCATGTCCTTTGCTGTAAAGCCTCGCAAGATCGGTGGCACCGAGGTGTTCCCCATCGGATATGGTGCTATGGGCATCAGTGCGTACTATACGAGGGCCAAACCGTTGACCGATGAGGAACGGTTTGCTGTATGTCTCGTCTCATCACGTTCAGACCTAGCAAAAGTTCACATTTGCTTGACAGGTCCTCGATACTGCATATGAATCAGGATGCAACCATTGGGACACTGCCGACGTCTATGGAGATAGCGAAGAGCTACTCGGGAATTGGTAATTTATTTCTGTTAAGCGCATGCTTTTCGCGCAACACTCAAATAACCTCAAATAACAGGTTCAAACGCACTAACAAGCGTTCTGAAATATTTCTCGCAAGCAAATGCGGAATCGTCCAAGGTATCGGCGTCGATGGTAGTCCAAAGCACGTGAAGGAAGCCATTGAATCTTCCCTAAAGAAACTTGGTGTCGATTATATCGATTTATACTACCTTCACCGGTACATATCTCCTATTAGTTTTATGGCGAAAGCAATCAACTGAGTGTCTTCACAGCCCTGACACTAAGACGCCAATAGAGCATACTATTGGTGCCCTCGCCGAGTTCGTGAAGTAAGTTGTCCACCTTCCCTCATTGACTCAAATGAAACCAGTCTCAATTCATATTTGTTGTTTATAGAAAAGGCAAAATACGCCATATTGGCCTTTCAGAGTGCTCTGCTTCGACCTTGCGGCGTGCACACGCAGTTCATCCCATAGCTGCGCTGCAAGTTGAATATTCACCCTTCACGCTGGATATCGAGTTTCCCGAAGTGAATCTTTTGAAGACTGCTCGTGAACTTGGTGTGACGATAGTCGCATACTCTCCTCTCGGTCGTGGACTGCTTACTGGTCAATACGTAAGTTAATCTTACGGATCATCGTGTGTATAAATTAAATGGCTTAACATTGATCAAATGTAGAAATCACCGGATGATTTCGAGGAGGATGATTTCAGGCGCACAATTCCTCGGTGAGCATGAAAATGCATGTTACTTTGGTTATTGCGGGCGCCAACCTACTACTGATTTTTCTAGCTACTCTAAGGAGAATTTCCCTAACATCCTCTCGCTCGTCTCATCCATCCAGAAGATTGGAGACAAGTATGGAGCATCAAGTGGACAAGTCGCTCTTGCTTGGCTCCTCGCGCAAGGTGAAGACGTTGTTGCCATTCCTGGAACCACTAGGATCAAGGTACAGTCTTGTTCATTACGGACGTCTTTCCCAGATGATAAAATGCGTCGACCATGTAGGCGTTGAAGGAGAACATTGATGCAGCCAACGTCAAGCTGTCCCCTGAGGATGTCGCTGAGGTGCGCCGCCTTGCAGAAAATGCAGAAGCAGGCAAGCACGGAGATCGCTATCCACCTGGCATGCGCGAGCAACTTTTTGCCGACACGCCCCCGCTTCAATCCTGAGTATTTGATATATGAAGTCCTGAGTGAATGACTGTCGGAGTAGCTGCAGATTGAATATGTTTCGAAGAAAAAACAACAATGTCATGATGATTGTCTTCTTGTTACACAAAAATTGGTGCACTGGTTATTAGTGACAAATAAACTTTCATTCTGTGTGCAATTGCGTTTAAGTATATTAAAATCCCAATCAATCCCCTGCCTCTTCGAGCGATTGAGATTGAGATTCTCAATACTTACAACAGATCTAGAACCTTCACATTTACAAAGGTACCCTCGGCCCTCTCTCGTGATTTCTCCCGAAAGCCATCTTTCGGATAAATACGATTTGTTTAACTTTTCTAGTCACTAATGCATAGGTGGAGTAAACGAAGAGTTGCCACAGTGGTATAAGGAAGTAATGTTAAAAAGTTAAAAAATAACTCCACAATCATAGAAAATCCCACAAAGCACTCATAACAGATCACTTACGACGAGCCTATAGTATCCGTCATCCTCTCCACTTGACTGCCCGAATCCCATTCCTGGGCCAAATCCAAGTCCCCTCTCTGTAGATCTGGACCACGGACCCATGTGATGACCACCACGTCCTAAACCCATTCCTCTTCCGTAGCCCATACCCATTCCTCTTCCCCAACCCATGCCTACTCCTCTTCCACAACCTGCACCCATCCCTCTACCAAAGGCCATTCCCATTCCTGTTCCGGAACCTGACGGGCCCATGCCTAATGGCCCGTGTCCTGCACCGAGACCACCCACGAATGCATGCCATCGCGCTGCCTTGTGCGCGAATCGTTCGTACTTGCGTTCAAGCCGACGCTCCCTCTTACGCTCCTTCCGCTCTGCACGATGTACTCGATGTGCGGCACGGCGAATTTTGCGAGCCGCGTGTCGCTCTGCTTTCGAGGCGTAGTAGGTTGATGAGTATCCTGGCTCGCGTTCGAACGAACGAGAGCGGGGAAGGGGTTGAGTGTTAGGTTGCGGTTGTCGTTGCGGATGGCGTCTATCATGCTCGAAGTCTGAATCACTGTCTGAATCTGAAGAGCTACATGAAGACAACGAGGTAGCAGACTTCGAGCGATGGAGACCGGGATTTCTTCCGCCTAGATGACCCATCAAGGGCCCAGGTAGGGGTGGCATTATAGGCATCGGGTGCACGGGCGTCATTTGCGGCATTGACAATGGCATGGTCCAACGCGAACGCGAGTTCGTGGATCCATCAGAGGGTAGGGAGTCAGGAGGTGGTAGAGACCTATCACCATTTAGTCTGCGTCCTCCTTTGGCAAGGACGACATCAAGCCCACGTCGATGGAAGAAATTCTGAAAATACCAATTGTTAACAGCAGGAAGGAAGGAAAATATCGGAATGTCGATTACCTCATTCCAGGTATCAACCAACGCTGCAGGACCACGATGGTTCCCTTGCTCAGCTTGTTTCCCTGGGGCACCGGAGAATGATCGAAACATGCTCCCCATAGTCTTGAAGAAATTACTCCTGTCTTCAGATGATGAACTTTCTGGAGACAGCCGAGCTGATGTCTGCAGATCGGAGAGGAACCTGTAGTAAAAGAGTAGTCAGTTACAAATTCACAGTCGACGGAAGTGAAATAAGACCGACTTTGTCCAATCGGATTCCCGAATGTCACGTTGGGAGAAAGGATGTGGCTGAACATCCGTCGGCGGGAGCATTGCGTAGAAGCCGTCTTCAAGTTTTTTGCTTCGAGAATGCATCACAAGGGGAGGGAAAGTAGCCTCTCGTGGGGCACGACCTGGGATGGCTGAGTTGGTGTTCAAATCTCGCGAGGAAGATGCGAGACGCGCGTTTCTGGGTTCGTCATCGTCCTTGTTTTCGTCGCCACCAGGACCATCACGAAACACGTTCGGATCCTTCACATCGCCAGTAGGTATTGGGTTGGCCTGAAGCTGAGCCCCTGGCACATGGTCTTCATAGGCTGGAGGTTGTTCGTCAATATTCAAGCTATTGTCAAGATGACTTGATAAGTCGTTGATATCTCCTTGAATAGGCGCTGAAGCAGGCCGTGGAACGGGCATTGATGCATAATAGACCTGCGTCGTAGTGTTGAAGCCATCTAGAGACTTTTCGTCAGGTTGCGGTAAGATGATCATGATGGACGAGAGCTTCAGGAGGAGTGCGGAGGATAGAAATCGACGTTGACGTTCTTATATAGCTATCGATTTGTCTCAACACGCTTCAATAACTGCGGTGCTGCGCTGTGCTGCGCGATCATTGCTTCCAGGTCCGCTTGACTCGGTTAGACTCTCAAATCACGCAGAATCATCCGATGAATTACAGTCAGGTGATGTACACGTTTCTTGCACACTGAGCTCAGTAAAATAAAATATACTCACAGCGAAAGAAATGCCATTGTGCTGAAATGTCGTAAAATGCACCATTAGCATCACAGATATATAATACTTGCCAAGTTATACAGCCTTACAGAGTTCAGGGATGTTATATGGTGCGCTATCTGTAGAGACAGCCAGGTTCCTTCACCTTTGAAATTCGTCGGTATTTACGGCTGCCGTTTCACCGTCCATCGGTGGAACGCCAGCTCGCTCACTAGGATAAAAAGGTACCTTTTGCCTTTGAAAGAACTTTGAAACTTAAGAAGCTTTAAACGATGCTTAGTCAGACAAATCCGCCCACGGTCACAAGGCCTCGGAAACGCGGCACAGTCGCGACAAAGTCAAGTCTCGTCTCGACGTGTTCTTAGATCTTAAACCAAACACCCAAGAGACATTCAAGCTGTCTTCGACGCGCACCTTGTTCAAGCGTCCTGGGACACATGCTGCCATGGCTATCCTCCCCACAAGTGCTCCGAGTACACCAAACAACACTACGACCTTTGCGCAGCCTCCGAAACCGGTGACAGCGAGATTGCCGCTCATCTTCAGGCGGTTGCATCGTTTCCAGCAAATGGTCAGTTGCTGCCCGAATCTGTGGTACTGTATTGTACTATTTTGCTAAGCTTTCGGGTGCAGGACTTTGAGCTGGCAGCATGGCAACTCACATACCTGTGCCTTGCACCAAAGAGAGTGTAAGTAAAAGGATACTCTTGTTAGCAATGTTTTCGGTGCTCACTATGTTCATGCAGGTATCGGAACGTATACTTTCATAAACGTGTGTTTCTTCTTGTCCTGGAGGGCAAGGCAAGATCTTGATTGACCTCCGCCGCCATTCTGTAGAAACCAAAAATACTTGGGCAAGAGACGACCCTGCAATATTGGTGCTGATTGGAGCCTGCTTGATAGGTGCGTATACTACCGTACACGTTTTATGACGATATTCACTCGCAGATCTATAGTGTCTGCCATAGCATGGTCAATAGTATGGTATTACTCACCATTGGAGGCCATCCGATTAGCCTTCTATATGATATTTAGAGATTTTCTCTTTTTCGGTGTTGTAATTGCTACCATCATTTGGTGAGTTCCTACGCCTTTCAGTCGGCTGCGATGGAAATTGAGAGGCTTTCACAGGCTCATCTCCAATGTTTTCCTATTCTCGCCTCCTTCACATGCCAACCCAGAGGACTCTGCCGTCGAGTGGGCGTATGCCTTCGACGTGCACACGAACGCATTCTTCCCTTTCTACTTAACATTATACCTTGCTCAGCTATTTCTCGTGCCTATTGTTCTTAAAGATAATTGGGTATGCCTGTGGGTGGGCAATACCCTGTATTTAGCAGGGTACGTCTGTTAGGTCATCTTATTGTTGTCTTGTTTGATTGACATGAACTTTGAAATTCCCGCTATAGCTTCGCTCAGTACATGTATGGCGTGTACCTTGGACTCAATGGTGAGCGAATGTGATATGTCATATAGTGTCATTTAGTGCGATCTAACGACGCCTTATGCTTCTAGCTCTTCCATTTCTTGTGCGAACAGAGCTGCTATTATCACCCTTGCTACCGCTTTTTGTGGGGTATATTGTGTCGCTTTTGGGGTTCAACGTTGCAAAACATGTACTAGCAATATACTTTGGCTAATATTTCGAATAAATGTCCATTTTTTTTGCGACTATGAATAGAGAGACTGTAGACAAGGACATCATGATTGCCTGACGCGTGACGACGGGTAGCTAATCGGGTAATTTAAACCCCGCTACTAGACGCTTGGCCCAAACCTCCGCAAACGGCAAACCCTCCACTCCTTGCCTTTAACCGTCTCTCTCCTTCTCAGTTCTCCATCGTGTACGACGACTCCACCGCCAGCAGTAGCAACGACCGCAACGACGAGAGACGAGTAGCTATGACGGGCGGAAAGGCTCAGCTGCAGCGTGCCATCATCCAGATTACTGAAAAGGCTCCCCCGCCAGACATCGATTTCACCCAGCACCAACTTGAAGATGGCACAAATGTCAGCACGCAGGAGCGCGTAATTAAGGATGTGCGTGGAGCTTATCTTTATTCTTTTCGAGCAGGCCACGAGAGGCTCACGATGATCACGTAGGTGCAAGCGCCTGCGATGTTTATTCCAACGAACGCGCAATTCTTCTCGCGCGAGGACCCAACAAAGCCTGACGTCGCGTTCTTAAAGAACCACTTCTACCGTGAAGGTCGCGTAACTGAAGAACAAGCACTCTATATCCTTGAGAAGGGAACGGAACTTCTCCGCGCCGAGCCTAATCTGCTGGAAGTTGATGCTCCTATAACTGGTCCGCTGTCCGTTATCTTCCACAGCGACAATGCACTGACGTATTTTTTTAGTGTGCGGGGATATACACGGGCAATATGTATGCAACCATACAGACTTTATGAGTAAAGACGAACATTGACATGCACTTGATGCGCAGTATGATCTTATGAAACTCTTTGAGGTGGGAGGGAATCCAGCAGACACGCGATACCTCTTCCTAGGTGACTACGTAGATCGGGGGTATTTCAGCATCGAAGTGAGTATTCAAGTCCGTTACCGTCGTTATCTCGCTTAAGTACGGCAATGCAGTGCGTTTTGTACCTGTGGTCACTGAAAATCTGGTATCCTGACACCCTCTTCCTCCTCCGTGGGAATCATGAGTGTCGTCATTTGACGGATTATTTTACTTTCAAACTTGAATGTAAGGATATATTCCCATTGCGAACATTCTGTTTCCCATTCTAAAAGTTTTGAAGGTAAACATAAATATTCCGAGCGCATTTATGATGCATGCATGGAATCATTCTGCGCACTTCCACTTGCCGCCATCATGAACAAGCAGTTCTTGTGTATTCACGGAGGTTTATCCCCGGAGCTAAACACACTTGAAGATCTTCGCAGGGTACGCTTCCTGTAGATTTTTGCCACATGCCTCTGACTTTATGTGGCTTTCAGATCGACCGGTTCCGTGAACCACCTACCACGGGTTTGATGTGTGACATCCTGTGGTCAGATCCAGCAGAGGACTTTGGGCAAGAAAAGACGGCGGAAAGCTTTGTGCATAACCATGTGCGCGGGTGCTCATTTTTCTTCACGTACGTCACCTTCCTCGTATATGTTACCCTCCAACCGACGAGGTTGTATATAGCTATCAAGCCGCTTGTCAATTCCTGGAACGAAATAACCTTCTATCTATTATACGAGCTCACGAAGCTCAAGACGCTGGGTGTGTACGCTAAGTTTTAGTTCCGGTCTAGTTAAGCTGATGTTTATCCTAGATATCGTATGTATCGTAAAACGAAAACAACAGGGTTTCCTTCTGTTATGACCATATTTTCCGCGCCGAATTATCTGGACGTGTATAATAACAAAGCAGCTGTCTTGAAGTATGAAAGCAACGTTATGAATATCCGCCAATTCAACTGTACACCACATCCATACTGGTTACCGAACTTTATGGATGTATTCACCTGGAGTTTACCCTTCGTTGGAGAGAAGAGTAAGCGGTTCGCATGAGTCGATTCTAGTATGAGCTAATATTTTCATAGTTACGGAAATGCTGGTTGCGGTTTTGAACACATGTAGTAAAGAGGAATTGGATGAGAGCTCAGAGGAAGAAGAAGTTCTTACTACTCCAGCCTCACCGACAACTGATGCAGCCGCTGAACGTCGGAAGATCATCAAGAACAAAATTCTGGCCGTTGGACGAATTTCACGAGTTTTCTCGTTATTACGGTTCGTATTCTGTTTCCTGTTGCAGATACTTTATGCTGAGTCCGATTGTTAACAGTGAGGAATCTGAGCGGGTGTCAGAGCTGAAGAGTGTTTCCGGTTCAGGAAAGTTGCCTTACGGAACATTGGCTCTCGGCGTGGAGGGCATCAAAGATGCTATCAGCAGTTTCGAGGATGCGTAAGTGATTCGGCAGTGTTGTCGAGGTCTCGCATTAATGTCTTTACAGACGGAAATCGGATATTGAAAACGAGCGTCTTCCGCCCGATCTTATCGATCCAGACGACGTTGCTCCACATTTGTCTAGCCCTGCAACGCCCAACGAAGAAGGGAAGACAGCACCGTCCCCAAACGGGATCAAAACAGCTATCGAGGCGGCAATCGCCAACGGATCGACTTCGCCCAAGGCGTCGTCTGCGGCGGAAGCAGCAATACAGTCACAACCGATGTCACCAGGGACGCCAACATCTGGAAGCGCGATTTCTTCGCCGTTCCGACGTGGGCACGCGCGTCAGGCGAGTCTAGGTACGACAATGACGAGTCCAAGCACGCGAAGGCGAAGTATCGAGAGCACGATCTCGTTGATCAAGGAAGCTGTCGATGGAAAGCAGGACCCGAACGAGTTGACGGAGCTTGCGGATCAACTATCGAGTCCTACCAGAGAGAAACGCGATCTTCCGGGAGAAGGAGGCGGTTCGTCGATCAGACCGGTAGGAGCATGAGACGGAATAAGAACCTTTCCTCATGATCCAGAGATTGTGTACATGTGGTATACACGGCCTGGATGGTGTGCGGGAAAGGGTGGACGATGTGTATTTTAGCTATTGACCGATCATGATATCCTGTGGCATTGGGATACATTTATTTTCTCGTCTTCCACAGTCTGGCTGTTTGTCATCATTTTCCCATTCTTCCTGTTTCATCTTCGTTTAAGGATCAATAATAAAAACTGTGTCGATATCGTATTTATTGTGATTAAGTGCGGATACGTGAAATCAGAAAGACACGACATGTACAGTACTTATAAGAGACCACTGCTAACACCATTCTTTTCAATCGTACATTTTGTGACGCATGTTAAGAGGTGTCATTGCTTAAGAACATCCATGTTTTGCATATTCAATTGCAAAGAGAATAACACGGCGAATAAAAGACAATTAAGCTGTAAAGTTCGCAATTGCCTACCAGAAGATGCAGATTTTAAAAGGTCCTAGCAGATAACATTAGCACAATTGATGTAAAACAAACGTGCATAAAGAAGATACGAGGCCTCAGGCAAAATGAAAGATGTCCTTCATGAAAGTTCGGACATATGCTTGTATATTTTGAAAGCATCATTGGGCATGGACGAACGAAGTAGATACTCACTTTTCATTGTTGTCTTTCCTCATTTACTTTTACGCTACCTAAGAATGTCAACATATTTTGAGTAAAATCGTTGTTAAAAAATAAAGAAAAGGAGTAAAGCGAAGTAGCCTTCGGCGGGTGGTGTGTGTTAGCATTGGAGCTCACATATTTTGTCGCCCACTAACGGAATCGTCTCGAGGTCCTCTGGGTTTAAACAGGAACAGATACTCACTAAAGGTCAAACGAGATAGGAATTCATAAGCCTACGTTACAAGTGCGTTAGTATTTGAGGGGATCATAGAAGAAGTAGAGATAGAAGGAAGGGATGGGTCAGTTGGTGATGCATGTTTGAGCATGGCTCATTCGTCAGGTGAACGTCACCGGCTCGAGATATGGATGGATATCATCAGGAAAGTAGCATGTAGGATATAATGCATACCTTTGACAGCCAGGCTGGCGTGAGCACTGGGAAGCCAAACTCTGGTGGTTTCATAACAGGAGGAAAAAGATCTGGTCGCGTTCGGATGCACGTAACAAAGAAAATGGCATCACGTGCCCATTCCTTACATGTGCAAAAAATTCTGACGATTTTCTTGTTGAAGCTGAACGACCACCGTTGCTTGCAGAAAGATAGATGGTGAGCTTCTCCTTACGATTTGTATTTTATGATGAACACCTATTCAGTTCTGCTTCCGAAAGTGAGCGCAAGTTCCTTGTGGATAGCTTATTACCAAAACTCTCAATTCTGATTTCCCCCATTTTCTCCGGCGTCTTCCGTTTGGCCCTTTTCTAACATCTTCCTCTTCTCGTGTTTTAGATTTCTGACTGTCACCCTGCACTACGAAGTTGTAGCTTGTGTAGGTGAGTCGTTGATTTCATGTTCTTCTGCTTCAAGACGAAACCAAGTTCATCCATTCTTTGACTGTCTTGATCGTTGCGTCATCTCGCTTATCTCCGCCCATGCTTCGGTATGAGTTGTTGTACGAATGCTCGTTTTGAGTGTCTGTGCCGGAGTGGTAGGATGCTCGCTGATCGAGGACATGAAAATACTGGCTTCTCTGATTTTTATTTTGACTTTCATCAGCTCGCATCTGAATCATCGCTAACTTTTTCTGTCTTTAGTGTTTCTTGGCTAACTGAGTAATACTTTTTGTACACCCATTTTACATGAATATACATGATATTTTTGTCCACGACCCGTGATATTATGTCCACGCAATGCTCATGACTTTCCTCTCAACACCAGCTTGTCTATCCAACACAGTCGTGGTTTTACCGCCTGCCTTAGTTATTGCGCGCTCAAACTCCATCACGCTGCCACCAACTCCAAAGTACAACACCTTTGCCGCAATTAAACAGAGTCTTGCACTTCCTTCAATAACAAGATCACTAGTTTGCGTTGTGGTATTGTCAACATCGCGTACATCCTTTGCTTCACCCTGCGTACACCGCTTCAGAAGTGCGATTAGAGAAGGCAGACTTGATGTTTCATAAATCGTCTCCGACGTGAGCGTAATGTCAAGTGGAAACGCGCCTCGGATGTCACTGTCGCTGAGAGACTGCCATGAGCCCGCGATAAAGCAGATTGCGATTCCCTGCTCCTGCAAGGAAGTATGGAAGGCAGATATCAACTGAGGCGTGATGTGCATGTCTCCTGGTGTGTCGGGGCTGAAAACCACTTCATCTTCAGGTGGGTGTTGTAAACGGTATTCTTCAGCTAGTGGGGAGGCATCTGTCGAGGATAAGGTAGATTAGCATTATGATGAGAAACGAATGACATGCCACGAACACCATTGTAAGAGGACATTTGGAAACGTGACGAGTCGTAAAACTAGGTCATTGAAATCTTGCAGAACGATTTCCGTCGAAAGCTTATCCGCATCTGAACTAGCCCTCTGAGGATTTGAGAAGAGTGTATGCAGCAGGTAGAGATTTGGAACCGCCGTCCCGCAGCCAAGCTAACCAGCAAATAAGACATAAGCCAAATATATATAGGTACAATTCTTACCTCGATAATCCTCTTACCTCTCACCCAATCCTCGCGTGGATCGCTCACATTCGCAAGATAATCAACGAGATCGAGGCTGCATTCCCAGGTCTTCAATCCGCCTTCGTATACGCCAGGTATAAGATCCGATGGATTGTTAATATAATCTAGTGTTTCCGGGCGTTCTGCCGAAGTTGCTCCCTTTGGTACGCTTGTAGCAGAAGAGACATCAACGGAAGACGCTTCAGACTCAGAGATGAGCTGGTAACGGGCATCGTAGAGGTCGCGCCGGAGAAGCGTCACGGTTTCTGCCTTCGCCTCTATTTTTTCTTTTCGATACTTGTCGTCAGGTTTGGGATTTGTATTGCTCCGAGATAACGGTATAACCAGTGGAGAGTAGGAGAGTGCAGGAGGTAGAGCTCGCGACTGCCTTGCGTTTTTGAATTAACATGAGACAAGTTTATATAAAATTCTCGACACTTACAAGATCATCCAGAGATAGCTCATAAGCTGATCCATGCTCGCAACCACTTATCCCCTTCATGCTCTGTAGCGAGAGCGTTTCATTCGTGCCTAGAGTGGATTCTGCATTGGCTTCTTGCACGTGTCCGATAGAACTACAGACAGCTTGCCCATGTGTTATCTGTAATCCGCCATCTTCAAGCCCTGCCTCGGAGAAATTGAACTTGAACATTGACCAGATCGAGTTGAAGCACATGCATGTACTCGAGCGAAATTTGAGAAGATCGACACCGAACTTGCTTATATAACGAGATAAGATAAGATTGTGAAACATTTCATCTCACCACGACTTTTGGTGTCAAAATTCTGAGTCGGTTTTTGATGCGATTCATAATGACTCCCCACACTTCCTTGGCGATGACAAGTGAAACTCTCAAAGGGATGCGTTCAACGTATATATAGATGCAACTATGCACTTTGTTGACGCAAACGGTCCATCAAAATGTCTTCGGGAACTCAACCGTTCGTCCCCCATCCCTTCCGCGACTGGCCAAAAGGCGCAGAAGTCAAGACTTTCAAGGGCAGCTGCCACTGCGGAGGAGTGACACTCGAATATGATCATCCAGCTCTGGAAGAGCGTCCTCCGGTCTCGTGCAACTGTAAAATGTGCACCCGCTACGCTTGCCTGTACATGTTCGTGCATCTATTCATGTTTTCTCTTTCCATTCTTAAAAGCCATTTTGAGTTTATCTCACACTTTTTGGTGGATAGCTACGGACCAGAAAGTGCGCTGCATCTGACCAGAGGGGAACCATCCACCTTCCTAAGCAGAGGAAAGGACGTCAACTTCTATTTCTGCCATTCATGTGGTTGCATGCTTTGCTGGACTGGATGGGGACGTTCTGGTGCCAATGTTCGAATGTTCGACGGCGTAAAGGTTGACAAACTCGTCCTCGAGTATCATGACGGAGCACATCTCGTGTAACGTGAGAGCATCCAGCGTTGTAATTCTGACTCGTTCGCTAACGAAACGCTAGGTCAGATACGGGTTTGGAGGTTCACATCTTTACATGTCAGCTGAATGCAGATCCAATTTAATAATGCTGGTTATTTTGCGGGACCGCTTCGAGTCAGATGTTTAGACAATATAAATGCTCTTCCAGAGTAGTAAGCATCTGAATCAGGTACCACTTCTCGGTTGTCTTGCCATTTATTCCGGTGAATGACGGCCTCGCCTGCAAGTATGACTCGTGCAGAGCCTTGACAGGCGCAGCTGCCGCGCATGCTTAACTTAGACGACTTACGAGTTTCAGGCTATAAAGAGGGGGCTCATGTTGCATTAGATCCCTAATCGAAACCGCACCCATGTCGTCCACTACGCAAACCACAGAACCAACAAAGGATGGTGACGCTCCAACCCAATTATTCAAGGGCACCTGCCACTGTCGCAAGTTCGCATTCGAGTACAAACACGCGCCGCTTGACGTGAAGAAGGCTGCGCGCTGCAATTGCTCGTGGTGCGCCAGAACTGGTGGCATTTATATGTCTGTCTTGCGTTCATAATTGATTGAGACGAAACATTGACCTCGTTTCAGAATGGGCCCCGAAAACATGCTGACTCTCGACCCGAAATTTGGAGGCTGGGACGACTTCACCAAATTCGAAAACAAGACGAAGACGGTTAAGCATTACTTCTGCCCCGTCTGCGGCAATCTCATGTTCTGGACGGGAATGGACCTTCTTGGTGTCAACGTGCGCATGCTTGATGGAGTAGATGCGGACAACCTCGAAGTGGAGATATTTGACGGGAAAAACCTCCTGTGAAAGAGATTCTTCGTGAATATTACAGTCAAGGAAAGATAGTTACAAACGGAGTCTGCGAACAATACATGACTTGGATTGAATAACGTAGCAAACTTCATTGTCTTGTCACTTAGTGGGAGGTTTTCGCCGTATGCAACAACGAGCGCAAATTGCCAACTCTCAGTACCAGTATATACATTTCATCTCAGATCTGATATGTCATTCGATGCTTCATGCTTGACAGTAGCCTGACAGCTCTGGCTGTCAAAGTACACATGACTCCTGCTTTGAAATGTACCGTCGCCCCTGAGTCATTTAGAAAGCATGGCATTTAAGCAGCTAAACAGGTCTTGGTGAAATGAGACGTCAATTCCTCACCTCACTTGCAATCACATGTCCTCCGACTCAGGAACCGCTGCGCCTGAAGCACCATCGGTGGGACAATATCCTGAAGGAGCCGAGATCGAAACATTCAAGGGCAGCTGCAACTGCGGCAAATTTACGTTTGAATTTCAACATCCTTCGCTGCATGTAAAGAAACCCATATCGTGCAACTGCACATTCTGCACCAAGACCGGAGGCGTTAATGTGTTCGTCACTTATGTTATACTATCGTAAATCTATGCTCATTCAGTAGCTGTGTTTCAGTGTCGCTCTCGAGAGTTACTTTTGCCTCAACGGAGGCCCAAAGAGCTGGGATGATATAGGGAAATTCGTAAAGAAGAACAAGGCTTTCACACAGCATTTTTGCCCACAATGCGGGTGTTGGATGTTCTGGACGGGGATGGGTCTCGTTGGAGTCAACATTCGTATGTTTGATGGCATTGAAGTAGACAAGTTGAGCATAGACCATTTTGACGGGAGAAATAAGCTATAAACGTACGTGAATATCGTTCATCGTCTCATGTGATTCGAGGTTTTTAATCAGGTTTCGGAAAGAGTGCCACAGCATATTTGTTGTCTAATACTTCTCGACACAACAATAATTCATTCCTTGACTATCTACCCCTACTCTTACAAACAAAAGTTGACATTTATTCGCGTAAAACCAAATTTGACCTTTCCATCGTACAAGTACGTGAATCTCGAGCGTCTATGTACAGGGATTATATGTATGTGCGTCAATAGTTATCAACTGCAACGGGCAGCACCACTCAATGTTTACCGAATATTAATAACGGCTTATTGCAGCAGCGTGTAAAACAACTCTACATAACAACGGTAAATCGTCGAGGTCAGTCCAAAGTAGAAAATGTGCATACATGCGCAAAATCCTTAGGTCCTGTCAGTAGGTTTTCCAAACAGAGGATCATTCACGCCATAGTCAGTCGACATTTGCCTGAAGTAGCTCCGGCGTTGACCAGCAGTAGAGGCTCGATATCTACCCTCCGGTCCGGCAAGATCATCGGGCTCTTCGCTGAAATCTGGTATGGAAAACCCGGAGCCTCCAGTTGCAGGCGGGCCGGTCACATAAGAGCCGAAATAGTCCGTCTTTTCATCTTTGTCGGTCCCTTTATAGCCATTCGTTCCGTATGAACCGTCTTGATTAGCATTGGGAGCGCCACCATCAGGCGATTCAGAGCGGCCATTAGGGAAAATGTATTGCACTTTCCTCCAGAAGAACCAGAGCCCTTCCAACTTGTATGCTCGACCAGCAAGATGGAGGAGAGTCTATATCAATATGCCAGGCATTGCTTAGAACTGCTTCATATGGGGACAAACTGGATGTATACGCACGAGTTCGACGAGTTGCTCAATGAGCAATGCAAGGGCATAAGGCGGCAAGCTAATCAGTCAGTATACACTCTGTGAGCAAGACTAGTTAATTTCACAATCAGTATTGGAAGTACGTACACCCATGAGTGAGATGCGAGCCACCAGATGCGACTTCCTTGCATTTGGAAGTTCTCGTTAAGGACCGCACTAGATGCATGTACATCCATCGTTGTGAAGATTATGACGAGGAGCCCCATGAAAAGCCTGCTGAGTGTTTGTCCCCATTCGTATCTGTCTAATTATCACAAGCATAGCATAACCATATAAATAACCGTTCATGAGTCTGATATGAGTCCATCATACCTCGCGGCCACCTATTGAACAGACACATCAAGGCTAGAGAGACGAGTACCAGACCTCCTGCAACGTAGAACCACAGCGCAGGTCGCGCGTTCGTTGTTATCACTTCGTTTGCTATCGTAAAGAAAGCCTCCGAATTTACAGACTCAATGTCCGTTGCATTCGCATTCGTAAAAATATCCATCCGTACAGCCAGTAACGAGCTATCATCTGGCATAGCATTGAAATTCTACAATAGGCGTGTTAGAGACCAGTTATTTGCACGAGCACAGTGCGCACCTCCAGGATGGTCTGCATAACTGAAATGTCGGCTTGATAGACGTAATTCATAGTAAATGATTGGTCTCCCAGCACTATGGACGCATTGATGCCATCGTTAACAGTATCAATAAGCGGCTGAAGACCAATACCGTCCTTCTGGAGTCTTGTAATAAACGCCTCGTCGAAGTCACCGCTATCCAGTAATACACCGAAGCCCTTATTAACCATCGCTTGAGAGCAAATCTGGACGAAACGATATGCTGTCTTTAAAGCACTAAACAAGTTCTGTAATGTAATTTGGTTATAAGGGCGTACAAAACAAAGACACAGATACATACCCCGACCACTAGCATTGCTCCAATTCCTTGCAATGTCACAATCAACGCAGACAGGTAGAAATAGTTGAAGAAGAACAACGCAAGTGCCCGGCGACTACCAAGCCTGTCGCCTTCGCTTGTTCCAAAGTACAGTGTGAAAAGGAGAATGAAAATAATCACACCACAGAGAATTAATCCGATACTTTCCCCAGTGATGGATACGTTTCCAACAATGTATTGGAATCCATTCGTGATCTTGTCGAGGCCGCCGCCTAGTGTGATGATAAATACTGTGGCACTACGCTCATAAATCGCAGCAGCAGGGTAGCGAACCCGGCCTGGAACGCCTGCCGCGATGAAGTGGGCTGCAACTTCGACGATTAGAGGCAGGAACCAAAGTACTAATTTCGCTATCTGATCGGATCGAGTCGGGGACTTTCCTATAACGATGGCTGCAATCGTGTAGCAGAGGAATGAAAATACGAGGGAACCGATGTGGATGTAAAATGGAGTAACGGGGATTTTGCGATCGGTCCACGCGAAGGGATATTTACGACGGATATGATAAAGAGCTAGAAACGAAATTCGGTCAGTAATTTTGTCGTCGATCGTGCACAGGGAATTAACCATTAGAGTATTGGGCCAGTAAAACAACGCGACTAAAGGCCATGATGATGGAAACACCTCTCGCATTTATGGTTGGTAGTCGTAGTTTCACCCTCATTGCTTCCACACCGGGATCTGACTGTGGGTCCGTTGTCTGGAACTTTAGATCAATACCCTTGTCGATGTTATCTTCGTGAAGTCCGCTGAAGACATTGAAGTTATTTGTGAAGGCAGCGAGTGCACAGAAGACGAAAAGTTGCAAGAAGACGAAGAACCGATGCAGCCAGTCGGCTTGGCGAAACCGCACGTTGTATGCAACCTGACTAGCCCAGACCCACCAGACCATTGCAAAGAAGCACAAATAGGACGTCAGATTCTAACGTCAGGCTTGTAAGCTTCGAAGAGGAGCGAAAGTGTTCTGGTGCAAGCTTACAGATCCCTGAAGAATCGGTGTGCCGTCCCTGCAAAAATAAATATAAGCATTCTGTAACTTATGCGAGAATTGAGTCTGGTATGTACTCACGTCAGACTTGCAAAAGCAGTGGTCATTGCAACTTCCAGAAGCTGGAGGCAAGTAAGGCAAGTAAGGGGAGGGAAAGTAGATTGTACCTACCAGGTCACTTGACGGGACTTCGCGAGCATAAACCTTGACTTCATCCTGGCGATATTCCTGTTCCAGATATAAGGCCTCATTCTACAAGCAGGTTAAACGTGCATTGAAATATACCTTTTCGTATTCGGGTTCTTCATCCCCATCTTTCTTTATGAATGGAGAACTTATCAACGGAACGATGCTTTCACGCCTCTCTTTGTACAGCGATACGCTATTCTGCAGTTCAGGATTGTCTTCGTTGTACAGGAGTTTCAAAAATACTCACTTATCATCCGCAGAAGACTCTTTCCTTAAGGTAGAGAAGGGCCGTCGAGGACGTTCTGTCATAGTTGGCAGAGATAAAATGAGCTTATTGAACACAAGACTGCAAGAAGGGGTCAACTGGGCCAAAGGGGTGTATAGGGAAGGAAGGTGTTCCCCATTGCCCAAACAAGCTGTACCGACTAAATAATACAAAAAGATCTGAGACTGATGCAACTTGTGCAACATAGAAGTTGATGCACGAGGTCTCTTTGGCAATCCCCACTCATTTTCAGCATCTCCGTGCCCCGTCCGGTGTTAGACGCTCGTCTATTCCAAATTCGATCTTGATAGTGTTCATCCTGACGGAGTTGTGAGGATTGACCGAGCAAACCGGCATCAAAGAATCCTGATCGTTCTGCAATTATAATGAGAACAGCGAAGATGGCTCTATTGACAAACAATTGCGTAGACAAAGAGAAGACGTAAACAGCATTAAGAGTATCTTTTTACCGACATTAGTAGAACACTTGTGGGAACCATGGGATGAAATGCAAGCTCACCCTAGAAATCACCGCATTTTCTCAGCTTCTTGCAGTTTCATGAGCGAAATCACCACGGCATCGATGCCATCTTTCACAGCGTCTAATTCACCTTCAGGCACGCGCGCCAAAATACCACCCAGCTTGTCTGGATGCCATCGTAATAACGAAGTCCTCAGGCGCTCTTTACGAGTCGTTTTATTGCTTTCGATAGTCAGCGATTCAAAAAGAAAATCGGCGATTTTTGTCGGGTCGCGAAGATCATCTGGACTCTTTGGTGGAGAAGCAAGAGGCCATGGAATATCGCCGAATGATAGAGCCTTATCAGCTGAAGCTAAGATATTGATCCACGCGTTTTCATATGCCCTCCATCGCTCAATTATACGGCGCTCCTTGTCTTCCCTCTCGACTATCTTTCGTATTTCATCGGTCCTCTTGTAGTCCCGTCGCCCGTTTGCATCACGGAGGATCCCACCGTGCCGCACCCAATGTTTCTCTCCTTTCAAGGCCTCCTCACGTTCGCGTTCCTCTCGTACTCGGCGGCGCTTTTCTTCTAAACCCAAGTACTTCTCCCAAGCCTGCTCCGCTTCTACACGCTTTTTCTGCTCAGCATTTTCTGCAACAAGTTGTTCATTTGTCTTCTGCGATTGGAGGTTCTGTTGAGCATGAAAAAGTTGGTGCAAAGTCCTAAGCTTCTCTTCAGGAGTCACCCAAGTGCAGGCAGGAAAGGCTAGGTGACCAGTTGCATATGAAGGAGCAGCATCTGGTGCTTTCGTTTGGGACATAGGTGGAGCGTAGTCGTGCAAGAGGCGAACTCAGGCGAAGATCTCCGTCTATGGAATGGTTCAAAAGCACGACGCGTTCCGTGCACGTGATACGCACGTGGCCGAGACTTCTCACTTGTTGGAAAGCAGACCTCCAACGGCGTGAATGGATGGTCTCTGTAATTTATTGCTCATCCATCCAGTACAGTGTCTTCTTCCTTTTATACACAAAAAACAAGTACTTCTTATTTACACGAAATTTTAATGTCACTGTCTTGTCTGATTGACTTGGCTATGTCAGTGCCTTGAGGAGCCTCATAACCTCGTCAAAACGTCTATCAATTTCCCATCCTATCGTCATATCCTCGCGTAACGTAAGAACTTGCTGCACGTCTTTCAATGGCTTTCCAGCAGCTTTCTCTGCCTTCGTCAGTTCCTCGTCGATGGTCGCCAACCAGGACAATGCTACTGCCCTTTGGCTCTCGCTCAAGAAAGGTTCAAAGTAACACCAGATGACACGGTCGGTTCCGTGCGTGACATAGCCTGAAATCAGCAGTGAGAATTCGAAAGTGAAAGGCAAGCAGTTAATTAATACCTTTCGCAATCTGCCGCACTTGTTCTGGTGTCCAGCGAATATCGTACCGAATCACAGGGAAACCGCTCGAAATTAGATCTCGGTAGAGGATCCTCACAGGCAAATGGACCTGCATATCACTCAAAATTCTCCCAAACTGTTCGAAACAGTCTTCTTGCTTCGCGTCTTTAGCCAGTGGCGGGTACATCGCGAGCAACACGTCAGTACACTCGGCGGGATAGTAGCGCAGTAGGTTCTTCCGTATGTCGTCCGGGCTCTCAATAGGATGAGATAAGGCGTATAGGTACCATTCGTCTCTGAGGTCGCCAACGATGATTGACTCAACACCTACGCGACGTAGACCAGCGGCAAACCCTCCTGAATGCTGCCAAGACATTGGCTCTGGTGAAACTGCGAGCCAGTCACCATCAAGGCAGCCACGGAAAGTTCCAAAGGCTCCAAGCTTCTCTGCATCAATGGCGGAAGTGATTGCCTGCCAAGGCGTTTTCACTGGGTCTTTGAGTGTTTCCAAAGCATCCGGGGAAGATGGATCGATGGAAAGCGCAGAGCATAATGCAGAAAACTGGGGGCGAAGTTCAGCCGGCGTCTTGGGAGCCATTCTGTAGGAAATGAGAGTCAGAAGAGGAAGTAATCAGGACCGTAAGGCGCACACTATAGCATTGGACTGAAGCGCAGCGCTCCGGAAAGGCGCTTTCCGTCCCTCTGGAAGGCACGAAGCGTGATGCAGGATTTGATGAACGGAATGAGCACCTAGTGAAAGTTTAGATGGATTGTGCAAGACAGGGCAGAAGTCGAAAGTGTACCTGCAGATAAGCCCGTAAGTTGTATATTTTCGGGATCACCTGTTTGAATAGATTACTCTCCAAATTCCCATTTGTGACGAACTGCTTACCGCCAAACGCGGATATGTTATCCTTGATCCATTCCAAGGCAAGCCATTGGTCCTTGAATCCGAAGTTCCCTTCAATGCGCGGACTGTCGCAGGCAAGGAAGCCAAACGCCGACAGACGGTATCCAATATTCACGTATATTTCATCTCGTGCTGCCGCGACATACTGAGCCTGGGCGCTTAGGCCGTGTGGAGAGCCGAACTGAAGGAATCTAGGTTGAAGAATAGTATAACGACAAAACACAGAAATTTCAGGAGTCTTACCCTCCATGGATATATACCTTGACTGGGAACCTCAACGACTCCTGTTTAAGATCATACGATGGCGGGATAAAGATGTTCAAAAACAATCTGAGAAATTAAATTAATAGATGAGCGAGAGTGAAGGATGGAAATAGAGAACGAACGGATTCTCCGTTGGCGAACCGAGTCCCAGCATATCTTGAACAGAAAAACCTAATTTAGTGTATGAGCAGTGTGCCTATTGAAATTTCACAGCGACGAAGACCTGCTGCTTGACCGTTGTTCATCGGCTGGGCAGCATCTAGCAAAGCATATTATTCGTATTTCATGGCACAGGCGACAGTATTTCGTACAGCAGGACTCGTTGATGTACTCAATGTCCTTATACCTGAAGTCCAGTGGCAGAGCCACAGGATTCTCGAAACGCGCAGGAGGTAAAGCGAATGGTATTTCTAGAGCCAGTTTAATCAGTATGCCGTCTTGATTTGATTTCCTTGGTATGTACCGTACCCAGGAAGACAGCGGTGCCATTCGTTGCACGCCGACCAGTTACTGGTCCGAATCTCGTCAGGACCGTTACCCGTTCCGAACTCTTTGCTAATTCTTCAGAGACGTCTGTTATCATTGTCGCCTAAGGAAGAGGTATGTGAAACCTGCTTACGCGAGAAGTAATCCTTCACGAGTGTCCAAAAAGCTTGTTAGAATCGGGATTCCGGGTATGTCCGGCCCGGATTGCTTACTTCCTAAATTCTGTCAATATCCAAGCATTGGAACAAGCGGCAACACGCACAAATATAGTGTAATTCATAAACAAGACTACCGGGTGTCTGGCGTCCCCATGTCTATTAGGGCAATAGGCTGATGGACATCGAAAGCCGGACTTCTGTTTTGAATTTATTGATTGTGCCAGAGACACGTTGGTCTACTTGCAACGGAGTGAACAAAGTCTCATGCTAGAAGTGTCCCGACAGATAAACCATGAGAAGAGCAAGAACCAAGCGCGGGAGACTTTATAGGTTGCTTGTGTGATTGCGAGGCAGAAACTAAAAAGAGCGAGTAATTGTGAAGGTGTCCTAATCAGGAAGGCAAAGTCATCTGGCGCAGGATCTGCAGCAAGAGGCATGTTTGTCTGTTTGGCCTCGACGTCGACATCCACAATGGCGACCAGCCGGCTGCCGACAACTATGCAACTCGAAGAGGGCAGGGCGATACTCAGGGAGCAACAGAAGCAGGTCGACGAAGTACAAAGAAAGATCGAAGATGCGCAGCGTGCACTCGAAGAGCTCATCACAGAGTCCACGCGCGCCATCAGTGCTCTCGAGGCCGACAAGCGCAAGGCGGAGAGCGAGATACAAGCCACCAAGGAGTTCTTATCTCCCATGCGCAGATTACCCGATGACTTACTCCAGCATATCTTTTGCTCGAACTTTGAGGATTCCCCGTGTTGTGCATGGACACTTGCTGGTGTGTGTTCGTCCTGGCGCAGGATCGCTTTGAACATGCCCAGATTATGGTCAAAGGTGCGATACTGCAGCGGATCTCCTATCTATGATATCGCGTAGCTGACTTCTTCGTATAGATACGTTTGGTGACAACCCTAAACTCGTCGCCGGATACCGCTCGGTTATGGTTGGAACGTTCCGGCAACCGTGTCCCGCTTGATATTGAGATTTACTTGCACATTCCGGCACCGCCGAAGAAACGCAGACGCGCCATAACACCTATCCCTGCCGCCTATAGTCCACCGCCCATCACAGACTTTTTCTTCCACCCTCCTCCGCCTACCCCGCCGACGTATGCCGTCCCTCCGCCTCCACTTCCAATGAACACAGTTTCCTTGGGCATGCAGAACGCGATACCACACCTTGCGCCTCCGTCTACAGCTCATATTCACCCTGTTTATATTGACCCTGTGTCGCATTGGCGCTCAAGACAGAGTAATAAGAACCAGTCGCCAACCTCCTCGTCATGGGGTCACATCGTTCTATTCTACCTCGCGGAACAGATGCATCGCTGGAAGCGTTTCGTATTCCGGTTTGATCGCCAATTTGACTCGGTATCTGCTCTTCGAAATATCGCTCGTAAGTATAATGCATTGAAAATCTTTTGCACTAAAATTAATGTGTTCAAATTGAAGGCGATGCCCCCTTACTCGAAGAATTTGAGGTGTCTTGCGGAGAACCGCTGCGATCTGAGGCAGACGTTTATCCATATGACTGGCAATGGTTGCCTTCTACGGATCGTGAAGTCCAGCTACCAAATATTCGGTCGGTTTCTCTGCAATACGTCCCGTTTAGATGGTCCTCTCCTCTAATCGCGGGTAATCTGCGAACTATTAACATACGCTCCCTTTCAACGCCTGGCATAGGTGGCCATACGAGCACACAGATGACTCTGGATCGTCTTCTCCATATCATTTCTTCAAACCCGACGCTGGAGCATTTATCACTGCATTTCCAGAATGCGCAACCTGCTGTGCTCCCATTGGAGACAACGAGGCTAAACGAACTCAAATCACTAAGCATTGGGGGTTCATTTACCTTGACCCCGTTATTAGATGCGCTGGTAACCCCCTCGCTCGAGTCTCTAACACTCAACATCGATCGTGAGGCACCTGAAGAATCAATTTCTGCGCTCCTTGCGCGCTCAAATTCCCCGCCTATATCCTTCCTTTCTCTTGCCTATCAAAGTCAGCTAGGCATGGGCCCATACTATGGCGATGCTCCGCCCGGATTGCTTCCATGGGGCTTCCTCGCTTCCCTCCCCCATATCAAGACACTGCAGGTAGGTCACACAGCACTCGATGTGCTCGTCGACGCTTTGTCGCACGTGGAAGATGAGGCTGGATCATGGCTAGCACCGGAGCTCGAGCATCTCGCTTTGCGTAGTTGTCATGCGCATGGCGATAGCGTATCCAAGCTTGTTGCGCTTGTTGAGGCACGCAATCCTCCATTTCCTGGAAGTACTTCGACTCTTGTGAACAGCACTGGACCCAGTGCAGCTAACTCCTCGCAAGCAAACGGAATAGGAAGCAATATTCCTGGCTTATCTGGGCCTTTTACGGGCGGGATGAGTCTTAGCAATATAGTCCTATTCTCTCCACCTCCAAATCCGGTTACAGCTTCGATAGGTGGCGCTGGCCATCCAGCTCGGTTGAAAACTCTTGAGTTGTACGATTGTGCAATACTCGGCGATGACATCCTCCGTTGGTTGAGGAGCAGGATATCCGACGTTAAGTGCACTGAACCAACTATGAGTCGGTACGTGCCCAAGCCTTCTTCCATCTTCTTCCGTTGATATGTCCCTTTCTTATCGTCAGCGGTTTACCCAGGAGCCCTACCTACTATCCTGTTGACCTATAGCGATATGAACAGCTATCGACAATAATAACGGGCATCATGGCTCGAACATTTCTTGCATTACTGGCATGCGACGCTGTACTGGCTCTTGCATTGTATCTGCTTCTCTTCTTGCCATGTGTACGGTCTCTGATACCTCGCGCAAACTTCTTATGTAATTGTGTCAGTTTCCTTATTTCCTTTGGCCATGTCCTTTTATTGTCCCCTTCTGTGCTTTAATTTTTGTTGTGATGGCGAGCCACGAATCAAAACGTGTATTAGTATTGCAATAAGTTATTGCATCTTATCTTTCCTTCTCATGTTCGGATGGTCTTTTTCTCTATCTCAAGGGAGTAACGGTTGTGGATCCAATGTTCAATGCAGAGAAAGTGATTCGTGAGCAGGAAATGGTCATCTATTTTACAGAATTACGATTATTTATTCCTTTTAAAGTCTAATATGAAGTTCTTTCGTAGGTCACTTACTTCGCATCCGCTTGAAAACTTCGTTTGGCACGATGTACTGCTCTGATAATCTTAATCTCTGATTTGGTATACAATAAAAGTCTGTAACTGGTTCATTTGCTCCCTTATTTTCTTCCCCTAGGTGGAATAGCGACGCAACACTATTTTGCTCCGCTTGCCTCACGCGGTAGAAGACGCATGCCCGAGCCCCGGTTGACGATATATTATAGCAATCTTTAGATGTCGGAGGTGTGCTTGAAATATACGGCAATCTCGTCTCGTCCGAATTCAAATATAACGGAGCATAGTTGCTCAGAACCGTTCCTCCTTTGCATCTGGCCTGGAGTTGTGAGCATCCACTTTTTTTAGTGGCGGCTCGTCTAGCTTCAACATTGGCCACGAACTCTCTGAATTCTGGACTCCGCAATGTCGGTGGACTCGGCCAAGTTATGAAATGCCGTTCCTCAACTTAAAGACTTCCGCGGTATAAAATACCTGGTGCATCTGGATTCTGGATTTCGCCACACCGGTGGACTCGGTTAACTCATGAGATTGCCATTTCCCAACCTGAAGACTTTCATGGTATAAAATGCCCAGTACTACTATTGAGGACTCGCATAACTAGTTTCTTGACTCATCTGAGTGCAGCTATTGAGTACTTCTCGTTGAACTGCTCTCGACTTACATTTATTTGTGATTCATCCTATTCATTATGCTTACCCACCACCGCCTTCTTGCAATCTCACTAATCTCTGCGTCTAGTGTCTCAGCCGTCTGTCCTGACTTCCAAATAGGCGTAATTAAGACGTCTGGAGATGTCATCGTATGTAATTTCAGTCCTTGGATTCTTAACATTCATTAAAGGCGACATCCTTCGTTATGGATCCGTATTACCATTAGTCAAAGATTGTTGACAACAACTGCAACCTTCTGGATCAGAAGCCAGAGAAACAAGGCTTTGAGCAGAATGTATGTAACGGGTATTCCAACGAGACCCAGGTCACTTGTAATGGAGATCCGTACGTGTTCATTCACTTTCACCTTCACAGAGATACTTATGTTGCCAATTCCGTTAACGAAGATTTAATAACAACGTACATAATCTCAAGACGTCCGATGGAACCTCCTGGGGACACTGTATAAACATGGGAGGCGCGAGTGCCTGTAATGGGCGCCTACTGTTTTGCTGTTCGAAATAGCCACCATTTCTCTATTGCATCCCGAACATTCCACTATTGTTTGGGCCTGTTGTAGAGATCTTGTTTATTGATTACTAGCACATTTTTAATGTTGGATATTTTGTGTTGAATTATATGCTGACACTTTGGATACATACTGTCTTCGGCATTGCCAGTGTAAATTGCCATCACAAGCTATATATGTATATCCTACATCACAATTCGTCCAACTTCTACATATTAGAATGCATTTGCATTTTTCACAAGGATGGATGTTTGTAAGCAAGGCAAGTATCCTGCACAGAGACATGAGAAGGAATCTGCCTGCTAACCTCCATACCACAAAACTGAATCATTCCTTATCCCTCATCGGGTCAGTTGGTTTGTAATTGGGAGTGTGCAGTTGTAGATAATCCCGACTAGGCTTCATCATTCTCCCAACTCTCCGGAACAGGTGTACCATACGTCTGTCCCACCGCAGTAGGTGTGCTCGCCCGTCCCATCGGAGTCAACCGCGACGAGACCTCTTCCCCATTATTCGTTCTCGTTTTAGCCGGTCTGGTCGGTGCATTCCAGGCGGACGCAGGCGGTTGTGGGGCTGGATTAGCTACTACAGCTGTCCACCCGCGTCCTGCGCTCGAGCTTTGTGGGCCAAGAGGAGGATTTGACGACGCCGAGCTCGGTCGCGCTACCGGTGCACTAGTATGTGTAGATGATCGCAGATCCGCAAGCTTGCCTAGAGTAGAAGGTGGATTTACTACGCTCGATAGCAGAGGCTTCGGTATCCGGGTGTCGATCCGACGAATCAACTGAACGCTAAAGGGACGTCAATACCAAGCATATAAACATGCATAGGAATAATTACAAACCTTCTTTGAGGCTCCTGATCAACTATCTGAGTGTCCATCCTATATATGCCAGCAAGCTGCAAGGAAAAACACTTTAGTTTTTTAAAATCAAGAAAGAATAATCGAAACAGACATCGTGAACGAATTTCCTCCGTCCTTCGTGCATGTGAGGCAGAATTTGAGACTTTCTCTCCGAGCTCACAAAGCTATCAAAATGTCAGTGAGGCTTTTCCCAGAAAAAGCCTGCCGAGCTTACTCTACAAATGATTTCTCAACCACGGTACAGAACTTGGTATTCGCACGCGCAAATGCTATAAGCTCGTTTGAATACGTCACGGGTCGTTGGCTATCCCTATCTTGCACCTCCTTCGAAATTCCAAGTGCCTCTGCAAGGCGAGCATTTCGTTTTGCAATACCACACTCATTAGTACATTTCAGTTGTTGTGTTATTTCACGGCCTGCGGGGTTTGAGATACTACGGCCACACTGCGAAGGCTGCTGCTGCCTCCCGCAAGGGCAACGCAGAGTGATTAATGCCTGACACGGCTCATCCTCTGAACATGCCGCTGGAGCGTGACACGGGGTAGTGCATGCATGCTGAGCAGGGAGACTGGGGATAGCATTGTAAGGCGCCTCCTTGGTAGCTAAATCATAGGTACATACCATAATTTACGAGGTTTTCCGCACATAGATGTGCATGTACCACAGTCCCCGTCATGACAGGTTCGTTGGCAATGATGAAAACCACAGTCCAGAAGCCTGGAAAGGCATGTTTAAAGAAAAGTAAAGACGTCGGAGTCTGGCCATACACTCACCTTCCGCACGTAGTTCCACACGACACCTTCTCCTGAGAGCATCTAGACGGACAATGTTCACACTGACATTACACTATTGAACGTAATGCATCTCTTTACCTTATGTTGTCTACAAAATTCTTTCCACAAGCACACGTCTTTGTTGTCAAGAATATGCACGGAGGACATGGAGTCGGATCTTCATGACATGTGTGAGTTGCTTTGGGATGTCCGCAAGGCGGAGGTGGACGGGAACATGGGTAATGACAGCTGATCCGTGTTCCACAAGGGATTGGCGGTTCAATGATGGTCTGTCCACAATGGCAAATCATCTACAAAAGATAAATATTCAGTAACAGCTCAAGCATGGGAAAGCTCAGGCGACGAACCTCCTCAAATGAAGACCTTAGGCAGGGTGGACACAGTCCTCGGTGATCTCTCTCCTCACAAAAATGGTTCCCGCAACCCAACATTTTCCCGCAAATCAGATCACACTCGTGCCAGCGTGCCTCGTCTCCAAGCTCCAATTCGACAGCTTGATAAGGTTGTCCTTTCGTTTTGCCTTTCTTCTTACCCTTTGTACCACTGTCCAACGCTGCGAGTGGACAACATAGACGATTACAGCGGTGGTGTCCACAAGCACGGAGGGCGGTGCAAGGCTTATCGCAGATGATATCCGTCGAAGACGATGAAGTGCTTTCGTGGCACTTGACAGCGCGTGTCGTCGATCCGCAGCGACAGGGAATAATTAGAAGGATAGCGCACGGCGGACATGGTCCGACGTGACCTAGAGCAGTCGAGCAGTAAGAATTACCGTATATTCTGAGCGGGAAAATTTAGTGCTTACAAGGTGCAGAGCAAACATGCTTGCATCCGTCTAGTTTCTTCATGCACGTATTTCCGCATGTCGCAATCGAGTCCGAACATTTCATCCGTAGACCGCCTTCAAGCTCCTCCAGTAGCCTCTTTCCGCATGGGCAATGCGTGACGAGGGATGGGGCGCGTGGACATTGCGGTGCAGACGTAGAAGGCGGATGGCATGGCCTCACGCATTTGTGTACGCCACAGTCAAACGGCCTTTGATGCAAAATTAGGCGCGAAAGAAAGACAACCAACAGATTCCAGAACAGAACCTACCGTCCACAAGGCTCTGCACAAGCAAATCTACCATCCCACTCTTCCAGAATACCATCGTCGTTCCTGATAGAACAGTCCTTCTGTTCACCCTCTCCACACTTAAGCGACTTTGAGCTTTTACCGCAATAGCATCTCCCTGCCTCGACGATTGGGCATTCTTCGCAAGGACCTGTATGACATAATTTTGGGCAGGAATGCGTTCCGCACCCGAGCCCCTTTCCACAAATGCTCCCACAAGATAACTCTGCTGTCGATGCCCCTGAATTCCTGTTTGCTGCCAGGTCTGAGCATCTGAATGACTTCATTTGTCGACGACAGTGACACGACATCTGTATTGTGATTTGACATGGTGGACATGGTCCTGGGTGGCAGGCAAGAGGGCATGCATGATTACAAGGGCGCGGACGAGAACAAGGGTTTCCACAGCTATGAGGTGTAGCTAGACGTGGAGGTCGTGGATCCGGAGTTGAACCGCAGAAACATCTGCATAAATAATTAGTATCGATATAAAACGCGATTATGGCAATTACTTACAAATATGAGTTTGGGACTTTTAACCGTTTGCGCTGGCAGCCGGGACAGCGCCACTCTCCTTCTTTTCCCAATTCTCCTCTTGCGAGGTATGCATCACGCATGTCCTTGACCGATTTTGAAGCCCAGGACTTGATGCATTTCAGGTGGAATGGAGCATAACAGCATTGTGTATCACCAGGCACAATTTCAGCATCATTCGCTGCTAAGAGATTAGAACTGTACCACACAAGACTGATTAATATATACGCTCACCAGAAGCAGAATCACGAGAACTAGTCGGGGAGCAGCTCCATATCGGTTGAGCAGGATGAATGGCGTTGAAACAAATTGGGCAATCTGCGTAAGGAGATATGCTAAGAGAATCGATGAGTCTGTTGATCAGAGTGTCGGCCTTAGTCCTTTTGCGCGGTGCAGGCTGCCGGAAGCCCTCCGAGGGTGTCTCGGTATCAGCTTCAGTCAGTTTTGCGTTGATTTTCTTCCTTCGTCCTCCCCGCGGAGGAACGGTGGGTTTGTCCTGTCCGCGTCCACTTCCTCGGCCTCGTCTGCCTGACCCACGTTCAACCCCGGTGTGCCCTGTAATGGGATCGGGTGGCGAAGAGTGGCCCGACGGTTCGCCTGTGCTCTCATCGGCAGCAATAACACCATCTTGCCCTCCTACTTTTCGTTGGAAAGCGTTTCGCCGTCCAGCATTGTTCTGACGTCTATGGCCTTCAGGAGAACTCCCAGTCTGTCCTCTTTCAGAGACTCGAGTCCCTAAAGGTATTTTGGAATCCACATTTCTTCGAGTTTGTTTACGGTGTCGTGCTTGTTTCTTCTTCTCCTCTGGTGGTCCACGGGACTCAAGGTTGTCAGATGGAATGACAGAATTGCTTGTGGGCGTTGCGTTATCTGATATGGTGGTTTCTGCAGGAAGACTTGGCATACAAAAGAATGTCTCAAGAAGTAGAGACTATCTGGATGTGTTGTATTGTGTTTGGCCACCAGGATGGGGTGAAGAGAAAGAGAGGGTTATAAGGAGATGAGGTTTCTGTTGAAGGTTGAACGAGTCAGCCTTGAACAAATTATTATTTTTGGTGACCGATTGCGGGAGTCACGTGCTTCCAGATCCACCTAGATCTTGCAATGCAAGAAACAAAATAATCATTCGTTGCCCTCTTCAATTGGCTCCGAAACCGTCTAAGTTGACACACTTCGAGTGTTTAGGCGTCTCGCTAGCTTTGCTTGTGTCATCAAGACAACTAATGTTAACCCTTTGTTGGCACAGTATGTTCGGCGAGGGTACATGCTTGAGATATTGAATTTCTCTTATGACATTCATAGTATATAAGAACATTGTTGAATCGACTTTGGACAAGGCATGCACAGTGGTGCTGGATCAGGTAAAATACATATAGGGCGGACAGTCCCCTCTCTAACATTGCGAGTCTAAAAGAACCGAATGTGTAATGTACAAATTATTATACCCATACTAAACAACCTGGCACTCCGCAGACGACAGGGTATTAGAAACTACAGCTCTTTCGTTTCACTCTGCGGTGAGCTCTCTATCAGCCACGCCTCGAGCCTCCTTCCGAGTTCACCTCCACGTCCACCACAAATATCGCCCTTCACGTCCAACATCCTCTCCATCTCAAGTTCAGAGCCTGCCGAGGATTGGCTCGCTCTTCGCAAACCACTCGTTAAAGATGGACTAATAGTTCCTATACGACGTTGAGTACCAGCGAGTGGGTGAGGTAACTTCGTTGCATCCGCCACGGTGCCGTCTGTCAAACAACTGAAGCTCAAACGCATTTGCGTTACGAGTGGCTCTTCCCAGTCGTCTTGTTCCCAAAATTCTTTGGGTTCTACCGCCATGAGTGCAAGCGCGCCTGGGAAATTTGCGGGAACAGGGGAGTCGTCTGTGTCGTGTTCGACTGTACCGAGGATACTGTCTACGAGACCTTCCTCCCAGCCGTCCCATTCTACACATTTATGTGCATAACGAAGAGGAGCACCGGCGCGTTCGTAGACTAACCACTCGTATGCATGAGGGAACTTGTCTGCAGGGAGTGCCGCGATAGCCTTCCGGAAAAGGTTCGACGAAAATGGAGATGATAGAAGAAACGAAGGTAAGTGTGCACAAGCCCATAGTGGCCGTGTCGTTGTAGATTCCCAGTCAATAATACAGGTCTATTACAAGTCAGTGACGAGTTAGCAGCTGTTCTATTCGTGAATTAAAGTCAACGCACAATCTTTGAATGATCCTTTTCGTCGACGAAGACATTATCAAGACTGAGATCATGGCAATCGAGGCTAAACATCTCTCCCTCGGGCAAGCTGCATCCACCGACACCTTCTTTATTCTTTACACCGTTCACCTGAACCTTGTCCACGACTTCCTTCAATACACCCTCTAAAACGATCATACATCTTCGCCACCGTTCCATTTCCCCACGAACGCGCTTTTCTCTCCTTTGAAGCTCTGCAACGAGGAAGGTACTCCTCTGAAACCGTCGATAATCCTGATACATCATATCCTCGTCCACGTCAGAATTGACACTGAGGGCAGGACTCCCAACACTCGAGCTCGAATCCGAGTCTTCTCTGTCATCAGAAGGAACTTCCGATTCATCATCTTCTCCTGATCGATCTTCACTCTCATCGTCCCCTTCACCAAAACCCGCTAGCCGAGCACGGCGGACAAAACCATATCCCCATACGTATTCACCCTTCTTGCTCCTTCTCTTTGCACCTCGAGGCAAGACATCATCGGGATCGAGATGTAGTTTATGCGGCTTTGCTCGCCCTTCGTTTTCACGTGCAACACCCAATGCCTCGCGATTGGCACACGCACGCAGGTACGCCGCATTGGAAGCCCATGGACCACGTTCGATCTCGGGTGGGAAGGAAGTATGGGACAGGTCACCGCGGCCAGAACCGAAGAACGGCCAGGAGACTATCGGTCCAATGTGGAAAGTTCGAGGTAAGCAAGGCACACCGATTGCATTCCTCCGTCGTCCAACTACGGAGGTTGGCCTGGATAGTGAGGAAGGTGTTAGTGAGAACTGAGTCCTCTCTTGTCGAGGTGTGGGAAGAACATTCGTAGAAAAAGAGGGTGTTCGAGTCGGGGTAGGCAGTGAGGATCCGAAGGCGAAGTCGATGGAGCTTGTGCGGTTTGATTGCGAGAGTTTGGGTGTTGGAACATGACCATGGTCCTCTTCCTCTTTAGCGAGTTTGTCATCTGTGCTGCCCTCTGGAGTCTTCACTGCGGAATTGAATTTGCCTTCCTCAGAATAAAGTGACCCGATGTGTGAAAATCTATGTCCGAAAAGAGGAACTAGTAGTTCTGCGAGCTGGCGTAGCAGTACATTCAGTTGTGCCAGAGGCAATGAGTGATAGACTTTTCGGAGCGGGATGCCACGGGCCTAAAAGTTACGAAATCAGATCCAGTTCAAAGAAGATACTGATGGAAATCAAATTGGATATGCAGGTTAATTAGAGCTGTCGTCACCGCAGTCCTGTAATTTCGTTTCGGAAGCATCGGAAAGGATAGTGAGATACTTTTTTACTATTTGTCTAGACTGTATCCAGACACGGGTCCGAAGTCGACCGGTTCCACCCCCACTTTTTAAGTAGTGCCCCAGAACGTTTATCTGGGGAAGATGGAGACAGCGAATGGCAATGCCTGTAAATCCGCTTGCAAACGGAACTCACGGAGCATTGCTTTCAATATGTGTGGCGACTCCGACCCTCACGCAAGACATGCAAAGCACAAGCAGAAATACTTGAGAATTACGCACCCTGCTCATCAAGATATACTCGCCACCAAGGCGGTTGTAGGGATTGCTGTCCCACGCATATACCTCGGGGACGGGAATCTTAGTATATGCGCGTAAATATTGCATGGTCGCGACTTCGGATTCGGTCTTTAAGCGCGGCATGTAGCGTCGAGCGACGCGAGCGATAACTGTTTCTCCGCTTGATAGTGCAACTAGATACGCCTTGTGGAATGTTCCTGCACACAGAACAGCGCCATATGTATACAACACGAAATAAGGCGAGAACAAGTAGACAGTCAGCAGACAATACCAATGGGCAGGCGTTTCCCTTACCAGAAGAGATAAAGCGAATCCGGGCAACATCCAAGCCTAATTTCTCTTTCACGATGTCGCGCAAAACACGCCTGTCGACCTGAAAGGAAACGTCATTGCCATCATGCCGCTTCTCGCGTGTCCTGTCTACCAGCTCGGCGTCTTGGTCCCATTCGAGCTTGACAGGAGCATCATGGTGCGCAGAGGCACCTGGGGTGGTGCTGAGCGAGCCCGAAGAGCGCTGCGTCATGCTGTCGTCGTCCTCGTCGCCGCCGCCGAAGCTGTACTCAGTTTCACTGTCTGTTTCGTGCGCGTAAAGGGCTGCATGCGCTGCTTGGCCGGGGTCGTCTTCGCCAAGCACGCGATAGTGTGCGGTATCATAATGAGGGTCTCCCTGTGGATGCGCCAGGGTGAATAAGCTGTTCTCGCCGCTTGCTGTCGGCGCTGTTGATGAGAAGGATGGCGGGGAAGTAGGGAGCAGGTGAAATGCCATTGTCAATTGCGCAAAGTCATCTTCTTCCTTCGGACGCACGTGCTTCGCACCAGGACGCGCCTCTGCCTCGGGACGCGTCGGCCAGCCGCCAATATCATCGCTGCTTTTCTCTCCCGCTTCCCGCCGAAGTAGGCCAGGCATATCGCACTACAGTTGAAAATACCTTATTGCATAACGTTGGGAGAAGCCTCAGACCTATGCAATATGAGCAATATGCATTATGGTAACTGTGTGAAAATATTACTTAATTAGGAATCCTAGATTCGATATTACTTTTCAATATATTCAAAGACATATACGCTATGACAAGAAAACTGGCACATATTTAGAGCATCAAGAAAGAAACATAAGACAAGAAAGAGTACAGTAAACATGTATATTACTGTAAAGCTCAAGAAATAGTATGTAGCATGAGGAAATAGAGGCAGAGTCCGTAGAAATGAAAAGATAGAAAAAGCTAGTCAATGCAAATGATTTTCCCCCACATATCATGAAGAGATCTTTGCTGCTGGCTACCCATTTCTTTCCTGAAAAGCTCACTACGAAACTTGCGGAGTAGGTTTGTGAGTGTGAGTCCTGTCGTAACGTCTGTATGATCAAGTGTAAGCTTCTCCAACATAATACAAAGTTCTTGTCCGTCACGCAAAGAAATCTTCTTCTCTGGCTCATCAGCAATAGGTTCATCCTCACTGTCTGTATCATCATCCAGCTCATCCAAATCCATCCCTTGCTCCATACGACGTTGTACTTCTTCAACAATATTGGTTTCTCCAAGAGTGCAAAGCTGTTCTAGCTCAGGACGTTCCTTACATTCTTCCTCTGGGTTGAGAAGGTCCTCGAGGGTTAGTAGTGCTCCAATGATTCGACGGTGCTGATGGAGGTTGTCTACTGATGACATGAGGTCCTTCTTGACTTGGACAAGCTGCTCCAAGACTTTTGACGATCCTGTCCTGTCTAGAGAATATGCAACTGCTGGCTGTTGCTGAGGCTTTGGTGTGTATTCTTCAACAGCTTCGATTGCAGCATTTACATTGTCCTCTGTATTAAGCACAGCATTGATGACAGAAGCCCAGTCTGCAAAGTCGTAATCCTCGCTGAGACACTCTTGAAGGTACTGTTCAAGCTTGGGAACAGTCCAGATAGAACCACACACATATTCTCAAACAATGTTCCAAGCTTCTGGACGTTGGCCAGCTGGAGACAGGGGGGGAGGGGGGGGACTCATTCGATCTGTAGCAAAGCTGTAAATAAACAAATGAACGACACGGTGAAAAATAAGATTGTTGAGGTTAGAGTAATCGACACAGTGAAAAATAAGATTGTTGAGGTTAGAACAATTGACACGGTGAAAAATAAAATTCAGGACATACCCTTTAATTCCAGCATGGTCCCAACAGTTTTTAATTGTAGACAGCTCAACGCATTCCCAAGCAGTAGTTGCCATGAGTATTGCTTCAAGGAGGTTGATTTTGTAGATGTCACGTTCACCAGCTTCATCAAGATTGACTGCCTGTTGACAGAAAGCTTGTCGGTATAAGGCCTTAAGTGTACGTATGATGCCAGCATCAAGTGGCTGGACAAACAAGGTCATGTTTGGTGCAAAAAACTCAAGCCAGACGTTTGTTGGTTGGTACAGTGTACAGTGTCCTGAGAAATTATCGAGGAGGAGGAGAACATGACGTCCCTCACTCCTCATTTGTAAATCAAATGCCTGCAACCATCTAGAAGAATGTTACACCAATTTTCAGTGAAGAATCCATGTTGGATATCAAGCCTGTAACTTACTGTTGGAATAAGCCCGAAGTCATCCAAGCTGACGAATTTGCATGATAATCCAAGCCACGTTCTTTTGCAGGTACATTAAGAAAGCACCGAGGCTTGAAATACTTGCCTATAAACATCAGTTTGTGCTTTCTTGAACCATTGGCATTACAGCAAACACCCATAGTTATTCTAAATCGACTGGTCTTCTTGCCACTCATTTGCTTGGATGCAAGCCCGCGGTCTGGAGGAGCACTTCTGCGAAGTCAAATTACAATTTCGAAAAGAAGCTGTAGACCACTCACTAAGCAAAGAGGCCTGTCTCGTCAAAGTTGTAGGTATTCTCAGCCGTGTATTGTTGAAGTATAATGGAGATCCGGGCTCTTTCCTCGGCAACATCATCTTGATTTACAGAAGCTGCCTCTCCATGACGGCGGATACTCTTAAGTCCCCACCTGTGAAGTCGAGTCGTCCGATACGATCGACACGGTGAAGAATAAGATGCCATCGAAGTCGAGTCGTCCGATACGATTGACACGGTGAAGAATAAGATGCCATCGAAGTCGAGTCGTCCATACGATTGACACGGTGAGATAAGATGCCATCGAAGTCGAGTCGTCCGATACGATGACTACG